TAAAAATATTTGTTGCTACTTTTATTCCTTATAGTTTTTTTAACAATATTACGGTAATATTTATAACTTTATTGATAAAAAAAAAAAAACATTATTGTTCTAATATTTATAGCTTTATTTAATCCATGTTTTTAATCACAACAAAAACATTAATTTTATTGTTATTATTTATTTAGGAAAACGAATTATCTAAGAAATGTATGTTAATGTTATATCAAAATTTTGTAAATTCATTCTATTTGCATAGTGTAATCCGATTAACAATAATACTAAATATTCACTTTGAAGACTAAATAATAACATTTTGTGAATTATTTACATTTTTTTTATCTAAAATTTTAATCACTGGAATATGATGGATTATTCATATTTTTTTAATTATCGGCATCGGTATCTGTACTGGTATCGATATTGGTATCGACATCGGTACCGGTATTAATATCGGTATCGGTATTAGTTTAGTATCAGTAACAATAAAAGTATCATTATCAGTATCAGTATTAATAGCATTATCTATATCAGTATCAACATTAGTATTAGTATTTGTATTAACCATTTATATTAATGTTAGTATTATTATTAAGGGGCACACTAATTCCCACACTAAAATTTACTAAATCCCACACATAAATTAAAAAAAAAAAATCTCTATCTACTTATATTCTCTCTAATTTTTTTCTATGATGATTTTTTCCAAGTCACTCAAAATTCGTTAATCTTTCACGTGAATAATCATAAAAAGTGAGTTTAGGCTAATTTAATATTTTTCAATTTCATTATGCCTTTTTAATTATTTAAATTCATATCAATTCGAATTTCTTTCTCAAATTCGAACTTTATTTTAGTTTGAACACATGAATATTTTTCTCAAATTCGAACTTGGAATGATATGGACATTTTTAGTGTGTGATTTTATTAAAAAAAAATAGGGAACAAGAAGAAGGGTGGAGAAGGAGAAGATGAGATTTTAGAGGGAGAAAAAACTTCAATTGTGTTGTGTGTATGATTTGGTAAAATTAGTGTGGGATTTAGCATATCAGTATTATTAATATTAGTATTAGTGTTAGTATTAGTGTTACTATTAGTGTCAATATTAGTATTAATATTAGTATTAGTAATAGTATTAGTATCACTATCAGTATTCGTATTTGTATTCGTATTTGTATTCGTATTCGTATTAGTATTCGTATAAGTATCAATATCAATATTAATAGTATCAGTATAAATATAATTATTAGTGTTAGTATTGGTATTTGTACTGGTAATGGTATTGGTACTAATATTGGTATTGGTATTAGTATTGTATTAGTATTGGTATCGGTATCGGTATCGGTGTCGGTATCGATATCGATATTAGTATGAGTATGGGTATCCGTATTAGTATCAATATCAGTCAGAGTATCAATATCAATATCGGTATCGGTACCGGTAGCGGTATCGGTATCGACATCGGTATCTATATGAGTATGGGTATCACTATTGCTATCAGTATCGGTATCAATTTTGTATCAGTATCAATATCATTATTAGTATATGTATCATTAGCAGTATTAGTATCAGTATCAGTATCATTATCAATATTAACATCAATATCAGTATAAGTATCAGTATTAATATCAATATCAATATCAGTATAAGTATCAGTATCAATATAAATATCAATATCAGTATCAGTATCAATATCATTATCAATATCAATATATGTATCAGTATCAATATCAATATCAATATCAATATCAATATCAATATATGTATTAGTATTAGTATTTGTATTAACCATTACTATTAATGTTAGTATTAGTATTTATATTAGTATTAGTATTAGTATTTATATTAGTATTAGTATTTATATTAGATTTAGTATTAATATCAGTATTAAATTAATATTAGTATTGTACGTAACATTGTCTAGAGTTAAGAGTATATTTTAAATAACGATTTTCATCAATTAAGAATCCGGTGATTGTCCTATGCTACTTGCATTATTGTGTACAAAGAAGTATTTCTAGAGTTGTATTTTAGGGAATATGAAGATACACTTTAACAAACATCATTTATATATTATATGCATGCGCATGTTTTTCGTTGACTCATACGTGTACATTTAATATGCGTTCAGATTTATTTTTAGTAAATAATATTTTTCGGCGATATTCAATTATATTAATATTAATATTAGTATTAATATCATTATCAGTATTCATATTCGTATTAGTATTCATATCAGTATCAATATCAATATTAATAGTATCAGTATCAGTATGAGTATTAATATTGGTATTGGTATTGGTATTGGTATTTGCATTGATACTGGTACTGTTATTGGTATTAATATTGGTATTAATATTAGTATTGTATCAGTATTCGTATCGGTATTATCAGTATGGGTATGGGTATCGGAATCGGTATCAATATGGGTATCGATATCGGTATGCGTATCGATATCGGTATCAGTATCGGTATCAGTATCAGTATCAATCTCGATATCGGTACCGGTAGCGATATCGGTATCGACATCGATATCGATATGAGTATGAGTATCACTATTGCTATCGGTATATGTATCAGTTTAGTATCAATATCAATATCATTATTAATATACGTATCATAATTAGTATTAGTATAAGTATCAATATCAATATCAGTATGAGTATCACTATCAGTATCAATATAAGTATCAGTATCAGTATCAGTATCAGTATCAGTATCAGTATCAGTATCAGTATCAATATAAATATCAATATATCTTAGTATTAGTATTTGTATTAATCATTATTAGTACTGTTAATATTATTATTAGTATTTGTATTAACCATTACTATTAGTATTAGTATTAGATTTAATATTAGTATCAATATTAAATTAATATTATTATTGTACGTAACATTGTCTAGAGTTAAGAGTATATTTTAAATAATGATTTTCATCAATTAAAAATCCGGTGCATTGTTTTATGCTACTTGCAATATTGTGTAGTAAGAAGTATTTCAAGTATTGTATTTCAGGGAATATGAAGATACACTTTAAGAAACATCATTTATATATTATATACATGCACATATTTTTCGTTGACTCATACGTACGTGTATATTCAATGTGCGTTCATATTTATTTTCAGTGAATAGTATTTTTCAATGGGATATTCGATTATTCCCTTTTTTGGGCAAGGTAATTCTATGCACACATTCTTCATTTGATATATATATATATATATATATATATATATATATATATATATATATATTTGTTTTCTTTAGATAACGCGTTGAACTTAAATAATGACACTAATAAATAATTACATCTTATTCATCTGATAATGGTTGATTTGACAAAACTTTCATGTGTTACTATATCAATATTCGGATTAATGCGTAAGAGTGGTGTTCTGAATCAATCTCCACTCATGGAGTTGCTTGTGGCATTTAGTTTGACTGTTCTAACATTGTCAATTTGTATTTATGTAGATTTTTTGTGATAAAATGAAATGCAATTGTTTTATTTATTGTTGGATCAATTTAAATTTAAATCTACGATATTTTTTAATTCATTGATTTTTTAAATTAATGCAGTATTTGATATATATATATATTCCCTTATATATATATATATATATATATATATATATATATATATATATATATATATATATATATATATATATATATATATATATATATATATATATATTCTTTATCTACGTAATGTCTTTGACTTATATATTGAAAATGATGAAAAATAACAGGTTATTCGTCATCCGGTCGTAGATCTAATTGTAGTTCCGTGGTCTTCTTTAACAACATTCACATTAATGTGCAAGACTGGTGCATTACTTTAATTTCGGTCTTGGAGTTACTTGCTACATTTCAACGTGTATGGTGCTTAGAACATTGTCCGTTTATTTTTTATAGAGACTTTTGATTGATAAATTAAGATACAAATTTGTTATTTATTGTTCAATTGTATTCTTTACATTCTCGACATATTTTTTATTCGTTGGTTTTCTACATTAACTCATTCTATGTTTTTGAATTAATCCCCGTGCATCGCACGGGTGAGTGACTAGTATTTTATAAGAGCAACTCCAATTGAATTATTAAGTATTTCACCTCACATTTATTTTATTTAACAATCTTTTGATAACTATGATTGAACCAAATAATATTTGATGCTCCCATTAGAGTGCTCAATATTCATACAAAAAATTATGTTAAAATAAAAATAAAAATGACTTGTCAAAATAAAAAATAAAATAAAAAAAAAGGGATATACAAATAATGGAGAAAAGGGTATAATAACAAATAAAATAATAATGGAGGAGATAACCTTGAGAAATGTGCACCTAGAAATTATCGCCTTCTCCCCATACTCTGCATGCATCATCAATTTAAAAAATAAATAAATAAAATCATCTAAAATCAGTGAAAACAAAAAAAGATTATCCAGTTAATTACTACTTAAATAAAAAAAACAAATTGCTGCGTAAACAAATTTCCGTGGCGCACCCAATAATTAGTCAACACGTGGACAATCATAAACTTGACGCGACTGTAATCGACCGTAGAAAAAAAGATGGAACAGCCACGCGCTTCGGTGGTCGTGGGTACACCTCCATTTGGTAGATCAAATCAATTAAATGTCAAATTAATTAGCTCTAAGTAGTAAGTAGAACTCTATGATTAAAGGATGGGGTTATCACATATTCACACACATAAACACATACCCACATTGGTATGTGTAGAGATCGAGAAAGCAGTACACACACAGTAGTGCGTGTATTTTTCTATACATACATGATACACCATACACGTAGTAGTAATAAATAATAATAATCAAAGCTTATCTTTTTATTGAAAATCCCAAACCGCATTCCAACGTCGCTGTTACTCGATCGGGCACCTCCTTCCTTGCTTGCTTATTTGACGAGCAATAAATACCCACCATTTTTCATCACACTCACAATTCAGAAAAGATCCCCATTTAATTAAACAGAGAGAAGAAGAAGAAGAAGAAATAAAATCGGAAGAAATGAGCAGCTCAAAGGGAAGAACAACGCTTGACGTTGGAGCTGACGGCGTTGGAATCGTCACCATCATCAATCCTCCTGTCAATTCTCTTTCGTTTGATGGTATACCTATGTTTGTGTTATTGTTTTATTTACCGAATTCAGATCTTTTTTTGTTTTTTTCAATTGAATTATGCTATAGCTTGTTCAATGTTAATTCGATGGCTTTCGTTGGTTTTTTCCATATGGTTTTTTTGCAAGCGTTTAATTTGTTGTAGATGTGTTGCCTTATAATTTTTTGTTTATGGAGATCTACTTATAATTGATCACGAGTTTATAAGTGAACCTTTATTTATTCCTAGAAATCAGTTGGATAATTCTATTTTTAAGGTTAATTTTATACAGCATAACGCCTCGACTATCAAATTCGAGCTATTACCGAAAAACTTGTACACTGCTGTAAAAGTTTTGAGAAGGGAATTAAGTGAAAATGGATGTCAGGAATTTCGTCGGTTAAGTATTTTTCTGGTTAATTTGGAAGAGGGATAAAAGGGTTCAGCTGAGGAAAATGCAAGGAGGAACAAGAATCATTGAAATTCGATATTTTCACATTTCTTTTTGATAATTTTTTAAATCTGTTAAAATTATGAAGAAATGTATTTTAAATAAATGCCTTAGTTAATGAAATGTATTGATTTCAGGCTTTTCAGCCTTTCAAGCAAACACTCACTTGTTCTATCTGTTCTGTGTATAGTGTTAAACAGCTTAAAAGACACTTGCGAACAGGCCTTGAGAAGAGATGATGTGAAGGCAATTGTCATCACAGGTAAACAAACATAAACTGCTCTTTACGTTAAACATTGGGGATTAAAACAATATGAGGTGGCGCTTTACTGCTTTTCATGTTTGAGCAGGTGCACAAGGAAAATTTTCTGGGGGTTTTGATATCAGTGCATTTGGGAAAATTCAAGACAAAAGCAGTATGTATATGTATTGCTGTTTTTTATCTTCTTTTTGATATGTTGTTTAAGTATCTTGTCTGAACTAGTGCCTCGTTTAATTACAGTCCAAGCTCCAAAACCTGGATTTGTATCATTGGAGATTCTTAGTGATGTTGTGGCAGGTATGTTGTTGAAAGTTTCTTCCGCTTCCAAAATCTAGATAGATTTTCCATCAAACTTGATCTTTTCTTATAAATAAATTATTTCATTTTTTTAGCTGCGACAAAACCCTTTGTGGCTGCTGTTGATGGTCTTGCCTTGGGTGGCGGATTAGAAGTTGCAATGGTAGGTTCTGCTTCTTTTAGTTCTACATAGGTTACAAGTATTCATGAGTTGACCTTTTTATTTATTTTTTATGTTTTTTTTCAGGCCTGTCATGCACGTATATCCACCCCTAATGCTCAACTAGGATTACCTGAACTGCAGCTTGGAATAATTCCTGGATTTGGAGGTGCCATATAGTTCATTAACTTGATATATTTTGTTGGTTTTTTTGTTCTTTTTTAAATATTCAACCAATTAACTTGATAAAGCAGACTTAAAAATCTGACAGTCCTCAATTATTACAGGAACACAGGCGCTTCCACGCCTTGTAGGTATAGCTAAAGCCCTTGAAATGATGCTGGTAAGCTTTGAATTTGTGAATGCACCACTTCAATATTATCAACTTATTTCTTTTCTGCATCTATTAATCTATATAATATGCATTTCTCTCTTTCTTGCATAGACATCAAAACCTGTAAAAGGCGAGGAGGCCTTAAGTTTAGGCCTTGTCGATGCTGTTGCTTCACCAGCTGAGCTGGTGAACACTGCTCGAAGATGGGCTCTCGATATTTTGGAGCGTAAAAGACCATGGGTTATCAGTTATTACAAGACCGACAAGTTGGAATCTCTAGGTGAGGCGAGGGAAATACTAAACTTTGCTCGAGTTCAGACACGTAAACGAGCTCCAAACCTCAAGCATCCATTGGTATGCATTGATGTTATCGAGGAGGGTATCGTCTCTGGTTCTCGTGCTGGGCTTTGGAAGGTTCATTTCTCTTCTTCCATATACTCTAATTTCATGAACTTGACGTGCTGGATGTTATTAACATATATCTAAACAGTGATATTTTTTCTTTTTAAGGAAGCTGAAGCATTTCAAATTCTCTTGGAATCAGATACTTGCAAGAGCTTGGTTCATTTTTTCTTTGCTCAACGTGGTACAACTAAGGTGAAGAGAAATTTCATGCATTTTAACACAACCTATGCATAAACATGGAATATAATATATGTTTCTGTTTAATTAGTAATAAGTTCCTGATAAACATGGGAATTGATGTAAATATTCCTGAAATTTCTTTTTTCGACACTCATGGTATTTCCTTTGTATTTACAAGCAGGTACCAGGTGTGACTGATCTAGGGTTGAAACCGAGGAAAATAAACAAGGTTGCTATACTTGGTGGAGGGCTAATGGGATCAGGAATAGCAACAGCATTGATTCTCTCAAATTACACTGTTATTCTCAAAGAAGTCAATGATAAGTTCTTACAAGCCGGGATTGGTAGAGTAAAAGGTGAGATTATAGCAAGGTCTTATTTAGACTTTGGCAACTCTACTAAATTAAATTTTACATCTGTTTTGATTTGTATTTATGCCTATCAGGAAATTTGCAAAGCCGCGTAAAGAAAGGGCAAATGAGTACAGAGAAGTTTGAGAAAACTCTTACTTTGCTCAAGGGTTCTCTCGACTATGAAAGCTTTAGAGATGTAGACATGGTTATTGAGGTATGCCGAAATATTATTATAAATTTGTATTTGTTCTTATGCAAACTCTTTTATCATTTTTTCTTCTTTCCGATTTGTAAATAGGCTGTCATCGAGAATGTATCCTTGAAGCAGCAAATATTCTCGGATCTCGAGAAATACTGCCCCCCACACTGCATACTTGCTAGCAACACTTCTACTATTGATCTGGACTTAATCGGAGAGAGGACGAAATCTCAAGATCGTATTATTGGAGCTCATTTTTTCAGGTAAATATTTATCGAATATTTAAATTTTATGCCCCATGCAGATATCTCTCAACATAATGTAAACCTTTATATCTTGATTACTACAGTCCAGCTCATGTGATGCCGCTTTTGGAAATTGTTCGCACTCAAAAGACTTCTCCTCAAGTAATAATAGACTTACTCGATGTGGGGAAGAAAATAAAGAAAACCCCAGTTGTCGTCGGAAATTGCACCGGCTTTGCTGTGAACAGAATGTTCTTTCCTTACACTCAAGCTGCACTTTTACTGGTAGAGCGTGGTGTGGATGTCTATCAGATAGACAGGGCAATCACCAAATTTGGAATGCCTATGGGTCCATTCAGGTAGAGTCTTTTTTCACAATACAACTTTGCCTATGACAAATGACATCACCTTTCCTTCGATTGCTGATATCATCATTTTCTTACATTGCCCCTAGGTTGTGTGACCTTGTCGGTTTTGGTGTTGCAATTGCTACGGGTGGACAATTTGTCTTGAATTTCCCAGAAAGAACTTACAAGTCCATGATTATACCACTCATGCAAGAGGATAAGAGAGCAGGTAAATTTTTTTAAAGACTTATTTGATTCAAATAAAACTTATAAGTAACAATAATATACTTTTGCTTTAGGTGAAACCACCCGTAAAGGATTCTATGTGTATGACGAAAAACGAAAGGCAAGCCCTGATCCAGAAATTAAGAAGTACATCGAAAAGTCGAGGGAGATCTCTGGTGTTACTATCGACCCAAAGGTTATTTATTCTCTCCCATCTCACCTCATGAATATTTATTTTATCTCCCAATTAATCTAACTTTGGGATTGAAATTGCATTCAGCTAACAAAATTATCAGACAAGGATATTGTGGAGATGATATTCTTACCCGTGGTGAATGAAACATGTCGCGTACTTGCTGAAGGCATTGCTGTCAAAGCTGCTGATCTTGATATATCTGCTGTGATGGGCATGGGCTTCCCTCCTTATCGGTTTGCTCCTCACCTCGATTTTTTTTGGGAAAATAAATCATTTGAAATATGTTTAATCTTTTTTTACATGTTTGGTTAATTAGGGGTGGGATAGTGTTTTGGGCTGATTCTCTTGGATCGAAATACATATGCTCGAGATTGGAGGAATGGTCGAATTTGTATGGAGGGTTTTTCAAGCCTTGCTCGTATTTGGCAGAACGAGCTGCAAAGGGTGCTCCATTGGTGAGAATTGATGCTCTATTTTTTTTAAACATTCTTGAATAGTAATTGCAGTGCTGATATATATTATTATTTTCTGTTTTCTATAGAGCTTGACTGTGGACCCCACAAAGTCGCGCTTATAAGGCCGATGCTCGATTTTCCCGTGCTGTGTCGGAAGTTTGTATGGTGCTGTAATATCTTGATTGCATGGTTTTATGCCGAGGATAGCAAAATAATGGAATTGGGAAGTGGAATAAATGTGTAATTTCAAGAATTGGAGATGGAGAATAAAAACTTTATACCAGTAACTTTAGCTTTTATTATTATTTTTATTTATTGTTATTTTTATTTTTGTTATTGTTTTTATATTATTGTTAGTATTTATTCTGAAAATTCACTGATTATAAAGAATTTTTTTCTGGTGTCCAAATTTAGTTAATGGGCCTAACCCAAATCAAAATGTAGACCACGTGTGTTAGTGCATATTGGACCCATGCTAAAATAGCCCATGAATCGACACTATTTAATAATTTGAATAATCCGGTGAATTATATAATAATCGTATAAAATAAATATAAAATAATAAATAAATAGTGATTAATGTAGGATAACATTTATATTCACTGCAGTTGGCAGATGCAGACACCTTTTTTTTTCTTCTCATTTTAGAATTTTTGATACATGTGAAGCATCTAATTTTATGACACGTGTAACTCAGATATTCTTTTCCGAATTCCGATCTATATGATCTCTCTCTCTCTTTTTTGTTTGTGTGTGAGAGAGAGAGAGAAATATGACTATGGTGTGTTTGGTGGTGAGATAGGAAATATAATCAAGATTTTTATTGAATTTTGTTCTTGATTCATGCATTGCATGTTCATATTAATGTACTCAACATTTTATTTTGTTTTTAAATTACGAAAAAATCTCTCATGTTTGACCTTAATTATATATTATTTTACAAAAAAAAGCGCTTCATTCAATAACTAAATTAAATACGTAGAGTTTTTTGCGTATTTAACTTTATCTTAGAGGTGATCCAAATCTAATTTGCCGTTATACAACTACTTTTCTGCTATAATTAATTACAGAAGTAATTAACACTCAACAGCTTTAGTAGTAATTAATGACTTCATTCTCTAGGTACCACTCATAGTTAATCCTATAGAAAAAAAAACAAGTACTATCCTTTAAATACATTTAACCAATCAATTATGATAGTAATTATTATTTCTTGTACTAATTTAATTCCACCACCTTTTTAAGTAGAAGATTCATTTCCAATATTCCATCCATGTAAATTTCAAAAAAAGAAATTGGTGGTGGGAGGCCAAACACAGCCCTAAATCCCCCCCTTGCAGTAAAGTAGAGAGCACTAGGGTTCCGGTTGTCTTATTCGTTTTTGTCAATTAATATATAATTAATTACTTCTCTCTTCTCTTCTCTGCTACATACGCTACTCTGTTTTCCACGTGCTCCCTGGCCACTCCCCTCCTCTCTCTCTCTCTCTCTCTCTCTCTCTCTCTCTCTCTCTACCCCCATTCCCCACTTTTACTTCAATGCCATAATATTAATATTAATATTCCACCTTTTTCATTTCATTCAAGAACTCCTTTGACCATTCTTTCTCTCTCTACTCTCTCTCTTCTTTCTCTCTCCTAAAGGAAGCCATTTTCTTGCACGGAAGCAAGCACCTGTATTAGTGGTAGAAGAACAAAACCCACAAAAGCCCAGATAACGAAATTGAATTTATTTATTTTCTCATCTGGGTTTCTTTCAAAAACTTCAAAAAAAAAAATGGTGATGGAGGTGGTGCATGAAGACATGGGAGAAGACAGCATGCAATGCACAAACCACCCATACAAGAACAGCACGCCAGGTGGCATCTGCGCTTTCTGCCTCCAAGAAAAGCTCGGCAAGCTCGTCTCTTCTTCATACCCAGTACCCGTTTTCCCTTCCTCCTCCTCCTCTTCTTCCCCTTCTTTCAGATCCACCTACGCCGCCGCCGCCGCCGCCACTTCCTCCGCCGTACTCGGCGGCGGATCCACCGCCCTCCAGAACGGAGTCAGTGACAGCTATTCTTCTCACACGCGGAGATCGAAACTGCCGTTTGTGCTCACCCACAGAAAGAAGAAGAAGAAGGAAAGCTCGAGTTCAACTTCAGATTCAACCGCCATTGTTTTCAAGAGAAGCAAATCCACCGCAACTCCGAGAAGAGGCGGCGGTAATAACAACAACATACATCTACTGGATGAAGAAGATTACAACAGCCCTAGTAGAAGGGGCTTTTGGTCATTTCTCCACCTCCCCAACAGACCCAAGAAACTACACCACCACCACCACCACCTCAAAGATTCAAACTTTACACCTACCACACCCGCCACTGTGTGTAACAATGAAAATGGGAGCCCAGATGATAAATTTTCAGACAGAAAAGTTTCGAGATCCAGATCTGTTGGGTGTGGGAGCAGAAGCTTCTCGGGCGATTTCTTCGAGAGAATCTCGACCGGGTTCGGTGACTGTACACTCCGTAGGGTCGAGTCGCAGAGAGAAGGAAAACCTAAAAATGGCGGCAAGAATGGAGGAGGTGGTGGAGGAATGAACGGCCAGGATTACATCAAGGAGAGAGTGAAATGCGGAGGGTTGTTCAGTGGGTTTATGATAGCTGGTTCGTCATCGTCTTCATCATCGTCTTCTTCGTATTGGGTTGCTGGTAATTCAGTTGAAGAAAACAGTAAGTCTCAAATGGTGAATCTTTCTCACGGGAGGAGTAAAAATTGGGGCTGGGCTTTTGCTTCTCCGATGAGGGCTTTTTCCAAGAATATTAATATTAATAATAATTCTGGGAAAAGGGATGCTGATTTGAATAGTAACAAGAATCGAAGCCCTAATTTGTCTGCAATTCCTTCGTTATTGGCTGTGAGTGGCTGATTGATTGATTAAAACAGAGATGGTAAAAAGAAGGGGTTTTTACTGTGGTTGATGGTAAAAAGAAGGGGTTTTTACTGTGGTTATTTATCCTATGTTGAAATCACTGTGTTTGTTGCAGTTAGTTCACCAGTTTATGATGTTAATGTGTTTCTTGATTTTTATTTATGAAGCTTCATTTTTGTTTTTGTGAGGTGAGTTTGATTGGGAAGTCATCTTTGTATTTAAATATATATATTATGTGGGTATTGAGTATTATGGTGAAGTATTTGGGAATAAATAAATGGATCCATATGGTATTTTTATTTTTATTTCATGAGTTTTTTATTTGAAATTTTCGATTTTTGCAGATTTTCGAACATTAACATTGGAAAAGAATTTGAATTTTTAGTGAAAGAGATAGAGCTATTCTATTCATTGGATCTGAATAGAAATACAGTTGCTTCCTCTGTTTATGATTATGTTTCAATTCTTAAATGAATTTGGAGCAATTATTTAGAAGGTCAAATTACCGCTATTACGAAAACACTCTTCATGTTTAGGCCGTAATTACATTCACTCCTCAGTTATTTATTTTCTTACCAAAATTCACCTCATTTAGTAGGTAAATTTGACATCGTAAAAATAGAAGTATAGTACAATGCATAGTTGAAGGAGGTGGTTGTAATTATCCAAAATGAAGGGGGATTTTGTAATTTGGCCTTACCTCAGGGGTGTGATCGTAATTTGACCTATTTAGAAAAACAAAAAGGGAAAGGGTTAAAGGCATTATGAATTCTTGGATTGATGATGATTTGATAGTTTAAATTGAATGAATGAATGAATGAAAGTGTAATAACTTTAGAAGCATAAAAGAAAAGATTGGTGTGGATTTGGTGTAATAGAAGAAGATCCCACTACATGAATGGTTGTCTCCATGCAAGGGGTTTTTTGAGGTCAAAAGCCACTTAGCCAACCATGTGCAAGATTAAGACACCTTCCAATTTCTTTTTTATATTTAGTCAAAGTGTTTGCACATGTTCTTGTTACAAATAGACACATTTGTTAATCTTTCTTTACACTAACTCAGGTGGAATCTTAAGCTTTTCTTGCATTGCCTAAGCGGCTAAGCCCCTCTCTCTCTCTCTCTCTCTCTCTCTCTCTCTCTCTCTCTCTCTCTCACACACACACACACACAAACACACACTAGAGACATAAACCATATCGGGTGTTAATCATGCGTGACAAGTTCGATTTAGCGCCTATTGCCAAAAACTTCACAGCTGAATCAATTGATACACACTCACTTGGTCCAACTGTTGGGTCGGGATACAATCTTCATCTTTATACATTGGGTACATATGTTTAGCTATTATAATTTACTCTAGTAACAAAATAGTAGTTCTATTTACATAATTACGTTTGCATTATTATTTCTATCAAAAATGTCCAAAAATAATTTGTCAAGATATTTTGTCATAAATAACACACCAACCATAAGTACTGTTTTTCTTGATGAGGGAATGAGTAATTATTGTGTTGCTCAACAATAACAATAATTGGAAAAAAGATTTTCAATAAAGCAATGAATTAATTAATTATCACTTCATTTCTGTCCTTTGTCCCACTGAATTATGAAACCATTAATTTCTTCAACAAACATCCTAACTAATCAGATAGGATAAGGATTAATAATTATTATTAAGAAACAACCCTTTCCTGATTATCTCCAAATAAATTAATATTTTTTTTAAATAAAAAAAAAAAAAAAAACAATATTGATAAGAACAAATGGGGATGCAGAAAGCAGAAGTGAGATAGAGACTAGTGAAGGATAGAAGAAGACATGAAATTGCAAAAAGACATGTTAGAAAAAAAGATTGTCTTGGGAAAATCCCAATTGGTGGAGCAGATTAATTATTACCCAATTGATTTTCAAGAAAATGTACAAACCCCACTAAATTTATTTATATGATTCATCTCAACAGGGAATTTTTTTTAGGGGTAATGATATACGCAGGCCAAATTAAACATTCAGGCACTTTTTTACCATGATTTTTTACCTTTTTACCATAATTATTTACCTTTTGTACTATTCATATGCACAAAATCGGACTTTTTTTTATTCATGTGCTCGCGTAAATTCACACGAGCAGGCCAAAGTCCGATTTTTTTCGTTTTTTTTTTCGGATTCGTAATCTACATAACAAGAGGATCGTAAAAACGTAAAAATTACCTCCGATCTGTTGACGATTTGCACGGGCTTTGCGAAAGAAAATCGAAAGGGTAGAGAGAGTTTTTGAGTTTTTTACCTTTTGTTTTTTGAGAAATGGTAAAAAATGTGCCTGAATGTTTAATTTGTGCCTGCACAAATCATTTCAGTTTTTTTAGGGGGTCCTCAATTTATAGGGATTTATTAATCTTTGGAAAAAGGTTGAATCTTTGTATATTTCACTTTTTGTCCATGTGATATTGTTGGAATTTTATTAGTTTTAAAATTGCCATTTCATTTTGTAATAACAAAAAAATCGTATAACAAATGATCAACTATTTACAATAATACAAGAATCAATTACATGTTTAGAATATCATTAGTTCATAATCTTTTTAGATTAATTCGGATGTTCGACTTTCCATCGACTAAGTGTATACGTGGCCAATCACAATCTACATATATTATACGGACACTTCAATTTCTTAATGTATTTCGTGATATACGGATACTTCAATTTCTTAACGCATTTCGTGTTCGACGCTCGCGCGGATTCGTTTGTCGGAAACTTTTATAAATAAATGAATTAATAGAAATATATTAGGGAGAAGAAAGAATTCTACAAGACAAATGAATGCCTCCACATTATAGCATCTGATAGGGACAGGTCTCCTTCTTCTTGTGTCAAATCAATATCTTGTCACTTCATATATTTAACTCCCAATTTTTATTTTATTCTCTTCACATCTATTCTTTAAAATTCGATTTATTCCTATATTGGCTTCATTTTAGATGAGTATTAAAACTATATAATATTCTGTATTTATATTTATTTATATATTGTTAAACATATTTGTAAAAAAAAAACCCTCAAGAACTATTATCATCATGGAAAATACACAAGTACACAAGTATCAAAAATAAACCTGCACATGCTTTGATTGATAAAACAAAAAATATCGAAAATAATCTCAAAATCGACTAATTGAAATCTAATAATCGTAGCCAAACGAGGTTCTAAACATCACCTTCCTCACTGTCGGGATCACTGCCGAGCACCTCTTCATCATCATCAACTATTTGTTCAGCTAGCAATTTCTCGTCTCGTTCGCTCACCTGAAAGAATCGAAATCGACAAATTGTTACAACTAACGGCTACTTATTATAAAGCTTAATTTTACGAATTAAAAAAAAAATTGTGCTACACTTACAGCTCTTGGTGCTGTCTTTACAGTAAGTCTTCCACCGCGGCTCTGTATTTCTTCACTGCAAGCGGAAATTGCTTTTTCCAAAACTCGAATTCCTTGCTCCTAAACTCGAAAGAAAAACCAATGTCGGTGGATTACAATCGAACCAAACAAGGCTTAAGAGAAACTCCGGATAATTAATCAATTCCTGATGGATGATTAAATTATAAACTAGTAGTAGTACCTTGTCGAGAGTTTGAGTGTAAAGAACATATAACGGAGCACCAATTAACGCAACTTTCACGGGGCAATCCACATTACCACAAGCTTCGGCTCTCCTCATAGCATCCTTCATTCACATATATAAACAAATTAACATTTAAATTTCGATTTTTTTTTAAAGAATATAATCAATTTCAATTTTCTTTTAAAGAATACCAATCTGTATCGAAACTCGATACATAGTCACCAAAACGAAGCAGAAAAACAGGGGATAAATACGATTTATTTCATGCTACACCTAATGAGATTCACCGTATATGTGTGCGTGTAATTATGTGTAAATCTATATATAGTGAGAGAGAAAGACCTTAAGGCGAAGAACACCATCAAGTTCAAAGCATTTCATCTCGATATCGGCACGGATTTTTATAGGGTGTGGAGTCATTCTTCTCCGGATATCTTGAACTAAGACCTTCTTCACTTCATCGGAGATTGCGGGGACCACCTTAGTCACCTAAGTCGTCATAAATTCAGCACCGTTAGATTAATCGAATCACTACCGATTTTAAATAAATAAAACAAAACAGAAGGTATAGTTTGAAAATCAGGAAAAATACTTTGTGACCATCATCATCTATTTCTTCAACTTCACGGGTAAGAGAATTAAGTACTGAATCCGGATCGATAACTATCGATTTGAAGGCCTGCACAAAATCTAGAATTAATTAGAATTATCTCATCTTAAATTTGCATCTATAAAAATGTTGCCTGTACACACACACACACACACACACACACACACACACACACACACACACACACACACACACACACACACATATATATATATATATATTACCTCGAAGGCATGACCATATTTCCTGGATAAAGGCCATCCCACATGGATATATAAATCCTGAAACAAAATTCAATTGCCTCCATAAGTGAAAACAAGAACATAACATCGAAAATTGAATAATTTCATTCCACCCCAAATTTATAAATAAAAAATAAAAAATAAAAAATAAAATTTAAAAAAATAATTTGAATTTACCTCAAGATCAACATCCATGGTTTCAGCCACGTGCCTCAAGATGGAGTGCACGTTCTTGCTCTTACTGTACCTTTCCTCGCAAGCCTTTGCGTCGTCTTCAGAAACCCTTCTCTTGCTGAGATTGACGAACCCTTTCTCCGGGTCAACATGCAGAACCATAACCGGTTCGACCCGCCCGATTCGAACCAGACTGGCTACGCTTCGTATGCGGCGGCGCGAGAGCTCCGTGAAACTGAGCATGGCTTCCATGTTGTTGTACTCCAACAGCGCCACGTAGGCGCACGTGTCGGGGTTTATGCTCTTGACTTGAATCATCACAGGGGTGTCGATTTCTGGGAATCTTTGTTCGTACATTCTGCAGTCGAGATTTGGTGCCATTGTTGAGAATTATTGAGAGAGGGTTTTTCAATTTCTTCGATGTTTTTTGAGTCGAGAAATTAGGGTTCTAAAGGGGTTTTGGCGAAGGTTGAAGATGAAAGATTTTCTGTACATGCAGAATTTTTATATATTACGTTTACGCCGGCCCTTGATAGTCGATATATATATTTATACATGACTGAGCTGTGTGTATATATATATATATATATATATGTGTGTAAAATTGGAATTGTTTGTTTTTTATTATGACGTGGAGATCTCTTTTGATATTATATTTAAAATTTAATAATTTTCCTAAATATATTGAAAAGCAAAATTTTGCTAAATTATTTCATAATATAAAATAAAATTATATACGAATTAGCATAGAAATTTATCACGACGTCATGTTATGAGTTCCGAACTAAAATTCTAACTTTCGGCAATTTTAGTTCGACTTTTTTTGTATATTATTAATCTTTTTCATCATTTTTTTCAATGAGAATGAATTTATAATTCTTTTTTTCATAATTAGAATAAAAATAAAATCCATTTTTACTTGTGAGAAAAAAATAATTGATTTTTTGAAAATATATTTTCTATCCAATCCTCCAATTTCCACAAGGAAAATATATTATTTAAAAGGGAAAAAGGAAAATATATTATTTAAAAGGGAAAAAAGAAAAATAGGAGAAAAGGAAAATAAAATAAGATTCCATCCACTAAAAATATTCCCTTCCACGTGTCCTTTGTTAAGAGGCTTCCGTTTTAATGTACACTCTACAGTAGAATCCTTAATATTAGAACCTTCTGTTAATATAATATTGTTTCTTGATCACAGTAATTAGACAAAGAATGCATGATTAACAAAATTGCAATTACATAAATCACAAATTAAATGTTAATAACTCCACGTAACATTATAATAAATAATTAAAACAAATATATCCACAAGTAGTAAACACACACACACACACACACGCACACATTTAATGTACATACATACATGATACAACCCATATCAGAAGCATAGAAACAGTAAGAAACAGCGTAGTGTTTTAATATGCAGAGCATGTAGTGTGCTTGAACAAATGCACAAATATTCGAATGCAGCAGTGAACATCTTGGAAAAACGGAATTATTTATGTTCTCACACGACTTATGCATAACATTCATCCTCGGTTTTTAGCATCTTCATGCGAAGAATAAATCGAAAACTAAATTCAGAAATCATGGCACAGAAAACGGGAAAAAGTATTACCATTAGGGGCAATCGTCTCAACAGCGAAGGTAAATCAATTACTTTCTTTTACGAACACTGGCAAAACGTACGCACACACACACACACCTGGTTGAGTATGAAAGAAGCGACGATGGAGCCTCCACTAAAGCCCATCGATCGAATATGCAGCTGTTGAAATCCAAATCAAGTCATTTCATAAATTCAAAAAAATATTAAGAAAAATTGTATTCATACAAAAATAGTAGATGTCACAGAAGTACCCCGTTTTACTTATGATATATATACACACGCAACATTAAACATATATAAAAAAGTTTTCATACTAAATAACTCTCAAATTTTACGAAATGCAGAGCATGGACAAAAAAGTAATTACCATATATCAAATCCCGCTGCAGCTACGAGTGGATTGACCGAAAGTTATCACGAGGAAATTCAGATGAAAACCCCCTGCAATATACATGCAATTTTAAGAAGCATACTGACAGCAGAATTACGTAATAAACAAAATGAAGTACATCCAAAGATATATTCAGGCATTCACGATTGCCCAATTATTATCTCTAGGATAATTTAATTGAATCAAAAGTTTGAAGAAATTCGTACCTTTACAATATCGGGGGAGCAGTTCGCCTTTTCCGCATATCACATTTCAAGCACTTTGACTATATCAAGCAATATATCGGCAACGCAACTTTGTCGCTTTAAGAATATATCTCCTCTCGTACTAAATTTGCGATATTACACTGCCTATTACGAAAATATGCTCAACTACAAACGACTCATGCCAATAGGAGAAATCGTCATCCGAGCAATAATAGAAAAGACTTTCGAGATTCAAGAAAAAACATATGAGATTTCATAACCTCGGAATTTGAGAAAACACGCTAAGAAAAATACTTAATAAAAAACCAGCATTCAAGCTGACACCAACTTAAGATTGATCCATATTATAAAGCAAGGAACTTATACATCAACGAGAAATACCTTATCATCGCCTTTAAATACAAATAAAATGCAGCAAACCAATTTTCCACTCAAATAACATAGTGACAAGAGGGAAAGTGCATTCCCCATATTAAAAATCATAAACACGCAAAAGAAATCATCGAAAATCAATTCGCTCATTTGATTAACTATCGTCACCGGACTTAGGTTCTTCTACAGACTTCAATGGAGCTGCAGGAGAAGGAGAACCTTCTTGACCCATTTCAGTTCTAAGCTCATTGATGCTCTGCTCTAACTCGTCTATGCGGTTCCCCATTTCATCAAGTACACCACAGTTAAGGAATTGAAGGTCAACTATACGTGTCATCTATATACGTATATTGATATTTTTTGCAGCTAACTTTCATCTTAAAGCATTAATAAAATTAAATGCCACATGCGCTATCATAGGATGTAAGAAAATATATTTTTAGGTTATGAGATAAACTGGTTAAGAAATAGTAATTGAAAAGGATATTTTTAGAGATGATGGACTCCGACATAGTCTGGAACCTATTTTGCTGCATAAAGAGAGAGAAGAACATTAGTAATAGTCGTCCCAAGTGTTAATTGTAATGAATCACAATGATGTTCGTTACTCACCATTTGCTGGAGAAGATTTTGGACCTAAAAATAGAGAGAAAAAGAATCGTTAGATGGGTATATGAGAACTAGTAATCATGTGACGTAATCTAAATACAAAGAAAAGAGATACGTCAATTTGAACAAGAAATGTTAATTTGGAACTGAAAGAGAGATACGTAGCATAATTACTAATTAGTCGAAATTTTTTTATCGAATTGAACTTACAAATGCCGTCATGTCAGCAGTACTTTGTTTAGAATTGTCCGCATCATGCCCATCCTACAAGCAACGGCAGTGTTCCATATTACTTATTATAAGACTTCAAATAAATTATGATTTTTCATCTTAACAAACTAATCGTGTTATCAACTGAAAACAAAACCGAGAATTGTTGAAATGTGAAAACTAACCATATAACCATCCTCGAAATTCGGAAATAATCAAAAATAAGTTACACATTAACCATATAACCATCCTCGGAATTTCCTACCGATTGTTTTACATCGTCTACGATATTGTAATTATATAAAATTCTACCTAATCATACAAACCAATTGACTGAAAAACAGTAAACCAGCAATTCTCGAAACTCGTCTAGCACCTATCCACGATAATACGTCATTATCTAAGAGAGACCCAACAGAATGTGAAAACCTAGCTGTATTTGTCGAGATTTATTAACAGAATTCCTAACAATGAATTTTCCATCTGAATCATCTGACGTAACCATTGATCATTCACTATTTTTATTGATTTAAATATAGAATTCTCTGATTTAAAAAAAAATCCCGAAATGGAAAGCGCAAAGAGAAACTAAAATCGAAACACACCCTATTCATATATTTACAGTAAGATTGTAACGATTAGATCGAACAAAATCCAATAAACTCACGATTTTGAAGCAAAATTTGACATAAAATAGACGGAGAAAGCAGAAATACCATCGTTTTGGAGTGAGTTCTGAGCTGGTTTAATCTTCGAGAGAGAAATCGGAGTGAAATATTTGTGAGATCGTGAAAATTCCGGAATTTAAATTTTGAAATATAACGGAGTTAGATTTTGAACTGGACTTTCTAATTTTTTTTTGAATTGGGCTGGGCCAGATTGCGAAGTCAATTAGGGTTGGGCCATCTGACCGTTTTCTCGGTGAAACGAGTTGGGCTTTAAATTACAGTATTTGTCAAATTTCAAATAGTAAATTACGACTACACCCCTGAGGTAAGGTCAAATTACGAAGAAAAAAAATCATGTTTGGATAATTACAACCACCTCTCAACTATGAATCTTCTTACACGTCCACCCTTGCAGTGTCAAATTTAGTGGAATCTTTTAGATTATATGGAGTATTCACCAGTTCGTATCCGTTTTACCCTATTCAGATTCCACATTTTGATACAAGATGATCATAGGATGTCTAGGTCTCTTGACTTGTAAATATCAGATTGTGGTGCATTAGAAACTGTATTTTTGCACAAAACAACTACGAATTAGAGAATATTCAAGAATTTGACACCATAAGGGTGAACGTGTAATAAGTTTCATAGATAAGGGGATGGTTGTAATTATCCAAACAAGAGTGGGTTTTTTCGTAATTTTACCTACTTAAATTGATAATTTGTACAATTATAAATACAAAAATAAACATCTTAGATTTCCCTCCAAGATCCCACTTTCCAGCAGTATTTCTCGATGAATCACATCACACTCGCAGAACCCATTTCTACAGTGCAAATGATTACTCGAGAAACAAGAAACAATCCGCAATTCTCGAATCTGGAGAAAAAAAAATTCCCCATCTATATTTCAATCCCCCAAAATTTTTTTCCCGATTGAAGCATCTGTAAATCGCCATGCTAGGTCGGCTGCTGAGCCCGCGCCGCTCCCGCCAATTCCACCGCCTCGCGAGCAACGGCAAGATAACCCTCCTCTGCCTCTTCCTCACCGTCGTTACGCTCCGCGAAGATCTCGGCGCCGGAAAATCCGGCACGCCGGAGAAGGATCTCGACGAGATCCGCGATACCTCTTCCTACATCCGCCGCCGCGCCGAGCCCCGCCGGGTTTTGGAAGACGTTCCGGTGACCACTCAAGGGCGGCGGAGCAAGGATACCTACGTAAGCGGGAGCAATAGCTACGCCGATTTCGACATAACTAAGATTCTGAAGGACGACGACGATGGTGTCGATGAATTTCAACGGGATCCATCTCAGCCGTACAGCCTCGGCCCGAAGATATCGAATTGGGATTCTCAGAGAAGCCAATGGCTAAAAAAGAACCCTAATTCCCCAAATTTCATCGCCGAGAACAAACCTAGGGTTCTTCTAGTCACCGGCTCCTCCCCTAAACCCTGCGAGAATCCGGTGGGTGATCATTACTTGCTGAAATCAATCAAGAACAAAATCGACTACTGCAGGCTCCACGGAATCGAGATTTTCTACAACATGGCTTTACTCGACGCCGAAATGGCCGGATTTTGGGCGAAACTGCCGTTGATTAGGAAGCTTCTATTGTCACATCCGGAGGTGGAGTTTTTGTGGTGGATGGATAGTGACGCAATGTTCACCGACATGGCTTTTGAGGTGCCGTGGGAGAGGTACAAAGACCACAACTTTGTGATGCATGGGTGGAACCACATGGTATACGAACACAAAAACTGGATCGGTTTAAACACAGGTAGTTTCTTGCTAAGGAATTGTCAATGGTCTTTGGATATTCTCGACACGTGGGCCCCAATGGGGCCCAAGGGGAAGATCAGGGAGGAAGCAGGGGAGATTCTTACTCGAGAGCTCAAAGATCGGCCGGTTTTCGAAGCGGACGATCAGTCGGCGATGGTGTATATATTGGCGACGCAGAAGGAGAAATGGGGGGATAAGGTTTATCTCGAGAATTGGTATTTCTTGCACGGTTATTGGGGGATTTTGGTGGATAAATTCGAGGAGATGATTGAGAATTATCATCCGGGGCTCGGCGACCATAGGTGGCCTCTGGTGACTCACTTTGTCGGGTGCAAGCCTTGTGGGAAATTTAAAGATTATTATTCAGTTGAGAAGTGCTTGAAGCAGATGGATCGTGCGTTTAATTTCGGGGATAATCAGATTCTGCAAATGTATGGATTCACTCATAAGTCGTTGGAGAGTAAGAGAGTGAAAAGAGTGAGGAACGAGACGAGTAATCCTCGTGAAGTGAGAGACGAGCTTGGGTTGCTTCACCCTGCGTTTAAAGCTGCGAAGATGTAAATCGGACCGGGCATCGTTTGGCTGCCGAGATTGGAGCGCCAAGATAAGATAACCCAATTGTGTAAATGGACTATAGCTCGTCTTTTCCGCAATTCGCAGACGACCCGAAAGTTATTGGACTGACCAAACATCGACTAAGGTCTAAATATTTATTTAATCATGGTACCGAGCAAACGAGGTCTTGGGATACACATAAAATTAGATTTATCATAATTGTAGTTGCAATGTCATTTGTATGTCACATTTTTTTCAAATACAAAAAAAAAATAAAAAATTGTATGTCACATTGCCATCTAAGTTACATAAATGAAATTGAAATTGTCACACCTTTTGTATTTCCTCATGTATTTTTGCCACTACTTCTTTAACTTCCCACTTGTTTCATTAACTTGCTCCACTAACAACAATTTTTCTTTTTTGAATAAGCTAAATAATTATTTTTTTCTGGTAAATTTAGATTTTTCTTTTTTAATCAGATATATACTTTTGTATCCATTATCAATTTATTTAATTAAAAAAATATTTTTATTTTCAAATATATTTTGCCTGCATTTTTTGTCTATTTATTTCCCAATTAATTTCTTAGAATACAAAATCCACTTCTGCCCTAATTTCGGAACCACTCCCCCTTTCAGCCGGTAATGGCAACCATTGAAATGAATCAACTCTCTACGCAGTTAGTATCTCTGCTTCCGCTCGCCGTTCAGTTATGGAGGCTTTAACTTCAATCCCTAGTTTCAATTCGATCCTCAAATTGATCAATTAGGCCAATTTCAAACCTTCGATTTCTACTCGTAAAGATACGCACGGATCTAATTACCCTAATTACTCTGTACCCTGATTCCAAACCGCAATCCCCAGTTAGGAATTTGAAGACTTGTTTTTTTTTTTTTTTAAATTAATCTCAAATATGGGGAATTGTTTGGGGATTCAGTTCATTAAATTGAAACAAGGTGCAAGAACAGGTTTAAAGCTTTTATGGAAAGACAAGGAAAATGTTGCTGTTGAGATTGATGATTCTGCTGAGGAACACACAGTTTATGTGTCAGATGATTCCAGTAATGAAGATTGGTTAATTGTGAGTAAGTCTAATGAAGGATATAGGCCTTTGAAAAATTCCCAGGAATCGAAGAAGAAGAAGAAAGGACATCGAATTACGAAGGTGAAGACCGGTTTTATAATTCTTCAATTTAGGGTTTATATTTATATATTTGTTGGGAATTTGATTCATTTGCAGGATGCGGTTGAGGAATGTTTTGCGCCTCTCACCGACGAAGAAGAGGCTTTGGTTTCTCGAGCATTGTCGTACTCCGATAGGTATGAATACTTTAAGCTGAATTTGGAGTAGATTATGAAGTTCCACTTGTTTATTATGCATTTCATTTTTATTACACATTTTCACAGGAGAGAAGTTTTGGTGAGTCATCCGAATTGTAATATTGATATTACGGGAGAGAATCTGATGTGTTTGAGCCCGGGTGGATGGCTTAACGATGACGTAAATTTTACCCTTTTTTGTTTTATTCCTCTTTGAATGAAATCTAGAGATTTTTAGTTATGAATTTGTGCAAATTTACTCTTGTTTTTGCAGGTCATTAATTTGTATCTCGTATTGTTGAAAGAAAGGGAAGAAAGAGAAAGCCATAAGTTCTTGAAATGCCACTTCTTTAACACTTTCTTTTATAAGAAGGTATGTTTGGTAAATTTATAAGAACGAGAATTATGAATATTCTTTGTTACTGCAATGGTTTACGACAGCATAATTTGCACTTTTAAATCGTTCTTTTTCGTTAATTTTTTTCTCTCAGCTAATTAGTGGTGGAGGCTATAACTTCCAATCTGTTAGAAAATGGACTACACAGAAAAAGCTCGGATACAGCCTTTTAGATTGTGAGAAAGTAAAAATTCTAACCATGCAAAGCTCTTAAATTTAATTGCTGTTGACGTTTTCACTTTTTCACGCGTATCCGACTAATATTTGTTATTTTTCTCAAGATTTTTGTGCCTATCCACCAAGGCGCACACTGGTGTCTGGCTATCATCAATAAGAAGGATAAAAAGTTCGAGTATCTTGATTCACTCAAAGGATTTGATATACAAGTTCTGCATGTACTGGTATGTATCTTACCGATTAAATATTTAATCTATTGTTTTTTTTTTCAATAAATTATCAATTTCGGTAGAGAAAAGTTTTGATAGCTAAATGACTTAGATTGACTAAATTATGATTTATACGGCTAATGTAACAAATGCAGGCTAAGTACTACGTTGATGAGGTAAAGGACAAGAATAAAGAAGACGTTGATATTACTTCTTGGAAGGCAGAATTCGTCACTGAACATCCCGAGCAAGAAAATGGGTTAGTTACGAGTAAAAAAATAAAACTACCAATATATTTTTTTCTGCTCAAAGAAAAAAAAGGAAAAAACAAAACAAGCAGAGCTTCTTTTAATTCTCGTAAACTGCTATTTGGAACAGGTTCGACTGTGGCATGTTCATGATCAAGTATGTTGACTTTTACAGCAGGGACGTTGGACTATGTTTTGACCAGGTCAGTCTTATGGTGGCTATTGTTTCGGTTAATCTTCATGGAAATCGAGTATTAGGATTATTTTTTTATTAACTTTGTTTTTTCGTTTTCTTTGATGTAGAGGGACATGCCGTATTTTAGGCGGAGGACTGCGAAGGAGATTTTGAAGTTGAGAGCAGAGTGATGAATGCAATAGATTTTTTGTTTAAATATTTCTGTAATTGAGAATAGAGATTTAATTATATATCTATATATTTTTGTAAATTGAAGCAATGCAGAGAAAGTGAAGCAAATGTAAATTAAAGACCAAAAACTTAATTTCTATCTCAATAATTTTGTTTAGGGTAAAGTTGAAATACAAAAAGAACCCTACTTTTTTAGAAATAAAATCCAGCCCCCTGCAGTTTATAAATTTCTTACATCCAACCCCTACAAAAGGTGTTAATGTAAGAAATTTATAAATTGCAGGGGTGGATGTAATTATGGGTTTTTTCGTCAATAGATCTTAATTTAGGGGTGCAAAAGGTGTTAATGTATAAATTGCAGGGGGTTGTATGTAGTTAAGGAAAAAATAGGGGGGGTTTACGTAAATAGAATATTACCTCAGGGGCGGTTTGTAATTTACCCTTTTGTTTATACTTGTAGAAAAAGAAACTGAGGCTGTTAACAGAGGCTTATTTGCCGCCACGTGTAAAGGTTCTCTCTTCCAACATTATTAAACTCGCCGAATCGAAAAATCGGAAAAGCAGAGAAGAAAATGGGAGAGGAAAAGGGCAAGCTTGAATCTATCAGGGAATGGATCGTCGAGCACAAGCTTCGTACTGTTGGTAATAATCAATTATTATTATTTATTTTATTGGATTTCTTTATTTGTTTTCATGAATCAATTTTACAGTTAATCTGTGTTGAGATTTTATTTACCTTTTTTTTTTTGAATTTGAAAAGGGAGTTTATGGGCAAGTGGGATTGTGGGATCGATGGCTTATAATTGGTCTCAACCCAATATGAAAACCAGCGTCAAGATTATTCATGCTAGGTATCAATTTCTCTAATTTTTTTTTTATTTTTCTGTGCTTTTGATTTTGTATTTTTGTTGCTAATGTGTAGTGCTGATATGGGATTTTTTGTATTTTTGTTGCTAATTTGTAGTGCTGATATGGGATTTTGTTCTTGTTGCATATGCAAATATTCATGTTCTTCACCTGGTTTTAATTCGACAATCGAGATTTCGGTTTGAATGTCGATTTAAAATAACTTTTTCTGTATGAGGTTTATGGTTGAAGAACTAAGATGTATTCAATTAGATGATCATTGGTGTCAAAAAAACAGATTAACTTTTTTTTTGTTTTTTTTTTAATTTAATCTTGTCGGCATTATAAGTATTTGATACGTGATTTTCAGCACTGTTGTGTTCGATCCGCGTTTCTTCAATTACATTAGATTTAGTTGATTTGGCCATGGTTAAACTATAGTAGTCGAACATTTTTAGCACCCGTTTTTTTAAAGTGGTGCACAGTCACTTAAACGATAAGAATAAGGCTAACTTCGTGTAAGTTGAATCGAATATGAAATCGAACCACTCTTATACCTTATTATTCTTCTCACTTTTGGTTGTGCAATGGTGTAACATTTTCTTTTCGACTTTTTTCAGCTTCTTATACTTACAAAAATATATATATTGTTTATATCGGATTCTTGATAATAGTGGCATTGTTTCTTGAAAATCAGGTTGCATGCTCAAGCACTCACTCTTGCAGCATTAGCTGGGGCTGCGGTTGTTGAGTATTATGATCATAAAACGGGGGCAAAAGCGGAAAGAGTAGCCAAGTTTCTGGACCTGAATGACCAGCCACATAGGGATTAAATCCCCTTTTTTTCGAGCTGAAATTCGGAAAATTGCTTCCAACTTTCACTTTCTCGAAGATGAAGATTATGAAATCTGCTTCGAAATTTAGTTCCAATATGCGTGAATTTTGTTTAGTGTGTCAATAAATTTTATGTCATTTTAGTGCTTGATACTCTTCAGGTTAAATAATTGGGTTTTTCTTTTTTTTTTTTTTTGTGAAATTGAATACATTATTTTTTGTGAAATAAAAATAAAAATTCAATTTACTGATTTTAATTTCAAATAATAATAAAAAAAAAAACAATAAAAATTGACTCGGTAGTGAAGCTGCGAAGAAACACACAAAATACACTCAGTTTGACACGCACATTTGCAGAAAAAACACGCACAAAACACAAACAAAAAACACACAGAAATGGATGAAAATCAAATCCCAACGAAGCTGGAATACTACGATGATATGTTCAAGCTCGAGTCAACGGCTACTCTCCTCTCTTCTTTCCTGGTCAGTTTTTTCCCCTTCTCTCTCTCTCTCTCTCTCTCTCTCTCTCTCTCTCTCACACACACACACACACACACACACACACAGTGCGAAGAAATTGTATTTACGATCGCGAGTTTCTAATTTTTGTATGATTTTTTTTTTCTCGTAAAGAGTGAGGATAGCAGGCATGTTTTGATTGTGGATTCCACTGTGTTTCATCCGCAAGGGGGTGGTCAACCTTCGGACAAGGGTTCTATCTCCAATTCACAGTTCAAATTCATTGTTGAGGATGTTCGATTAAAGGACAAAATTGTCTGTAAAACCTAGTTCCAATTTTCCCCCCCTTTCTTTTGGGTCAATTTTTGCTCTGTAGAAATGATTTATTTATTTTTCCATTTAATTGTGATTAGGTGTACCATTACGGCCATTTTGAGAGCTCCAAAGATGAGAATGTCGAAAAAGGTGCTCAAGTTTCGTTGAGTGTGGATGAAGCTAGGCGTATGCTCAATTCGAGGTATGAATTCTTTCGATTGCTGGAATAATTTTAGCTTTATATCAGTTATTGGATTGGAATCGATTACTTAAATATAGACAAAATGTAGTAATGTTTGTGTTGTATTCGTTTGTGATTGTACGTGATAGCACATTGATAAGCAAAATAAGTTGTTCTTAATCGAGTGAAAATTTGACGACAAAGATAACGAAATTTCGCAATCCCTTTGTTCAATTTCCAAGTAATTTCCCTCTCTTTTTTTCCGTCAATAGTCATTCTTGAATTTTGCGTCTCAGAAATAGTATCATACGAAGTAGAATAGAACAATATTATTTGATTGGTACTTTTAATTTGGATCCTTTTTACAGGCTACACTCAGCTGGGCATTTGCTGGATATTTGTGTGAGAAATGTCGGATGGAATCACTTGGAGCCCGGTAAAGGATACCACTTCCAAGATGGGTATGCATTTATCGTATTGATATATACTTTACGGAAAAGAGTGCTAAAATAATTAAATTCATAAACACATCTAAAATCAGAAACAAAATCTGTTCCCAAATCGAAACGCAGAGGTTAATTTTGAGCTTTTAAGTAGAAACTATAGTTCAAGTCGAAACTTCCATTATCAATTTAGTTGGCTTACGAATAAAAAGTTCGTACTAATTTTTCTCCTCTAAAAATTCTGACACCATGCAATGAAATAATCTTGGATTAACAGTTAATTCCTCCATGCAGTCGTTACTCGTGCAGTATTCACTTAGTCGGAGTTCAGTTTGATAAGACAGGATTATTTTCCGTATTAGTAGAATGATAATGCCAAACTGTTTTGAGCCATGTGCCTTTATGGTTGCATATACGTTTTTCGATTTTAAGTTGGCCACCGTTTTTTTTTCTTTCAGGCCGTTCGTAGAATACAAAGGCGTAGTTCCACAAAATGAATTGCACAGCAAGAAAACGGAGCTAGAATTAGAAGCTAGCAATTTGATCTCAAAAGGAGGGAAAGTATGCAATTTTCCTCCCTTTCTTTTTTTTAATCGAATTGAACTCTCCAATTATGTAATACCCGTGTTCTGAAAAATTCCATTTTTAATTAAGGTTTCTATATCGATTGTGCCGTACGATAAAGCTTCTGAACTGTGTGGTGGGTCCCTCCCAGATTATATACCTAAGGTTAGAAAATCATTCTTATCTGTTCTGTGTATTACATATAATATTATCTTCTCCATTCTGAATATGATTTTGTGACTATTTTTTCCTGTCTATGAATTTTTAGGACAGCACTCCGAGGATTGTTCAGTTAGGTGAATTCCCAGGATGCCCCTGCGGTGGAACGCACATCAAAGACATCAATGAAATATCGACCCTAAAAGTACTGGCTTCAATTTAGCGTAGCTCCATTAAATCTGCTATTTCGATAAACTGTCCGATGCTAACCTTTATATATATATTCTTTTTACGATGTTTCAGGTTTCTCAAATCCGGATAAAGAAAGGGTTTACAAAAGTTTTTTACAATGTTCAATAACCTTGTGTATGAATTATGATGCCTCAATTCAATTTGTATTCTTGAAAATGTTAAACACAAGTATCCCGCGTCGAGCGAGTGGTGAAGACTTTGCTTAGTGAAACCCACATCGAGTGAGTCGCTAAGATACATACATTGATCTAATTTTGTGTTAGGCTGCTCTATCAGTTGTCGATAATAAGTAGCGCATAACTATACACAGCTGAATGTTTTCTTCTGTGTAATTAGAAACTTCTATTTTAAGATCATGGTATCATTTTCCTTATAAGTGGTTTTTTCGATATTATTGATCCACGTATTGCATGTATGGCGTAAGAATACATCGTTGAATGTACATATAATGACGTTCTTTGAATTGTAAACAGAAGCGCATCTGGTGTAGTGGTATCATAGTACCCTCCCACGGTACTGACCAGGGTTCGATTCCCTGGATGCGCAACTCTTTTTTTATAATTGTAAATTTTTTTTATTTTGTACTATATTAACTTTTAAAAGTTTATTTGCTTCTTTCTCGAACTACGTATCAATATGTTATTACGAAAGCCTGTAATATTTGGGGAATACGATGCTACACCTGGTGATTTTCACCGGGTGACTCTTTTCTTGACATGTGTCCTTTTTTATTTATTTTATAATTATATTTTTAAAAATCCATTAGGCCATAACTGAACCCGTAGTGGAAATCTTATTAATTAGGGTGCCTGGTTATATTCACCAGGTGTAGCATAGAATTTCCCGTAATATTTTATGATCTTTCCCGATAAACGAGTGTGTGTGCGTGTGTGTGTGTGTGCGAGTGTGTGTGTGTGTGTGTGTGAGAGAGAGAAGCACTCGTTATTTATCATGAATTACTAGTACTATGAATTTATTTGCATTGTCTTATCACATATATATTTATTCCAATATAATAATAATAATAATAATAATAATAATAATAATAATAATAATAATAATAAAAAAAAAAAAAAAAAAAAACACTAATCGCTAGACGATTTCGTTTTGTAGAAGATTGATTCTACATGGTATTCAATAAGGAAAGGGAATCCTATCTGTTTGATTGTTAATTTGCCTACGTATATATAGACTACTCCCGATCTAATTCTAATACGTGTACTAGGTTATAATTCTATCTACCTCGTACACACACATATATATATACACACACACACAAAGGCTTTCATATACCACTATTGTTTAGGTTAAACAAAAAGAAGAACAAGAAGAAGAAGATCGAATAAGAAGAGCAATGTCTGGAAAAAGACGAATAATCAGCAGAAATCTTCCTGAAGAAATAATGGAAGAAATTCTGCATAATCTTCCGATAAAATCGTTATTGAGATTCAAGTGCGTTTCGAAATCATGGTTGTTTACCATCTCCAGCAAAGCTTTCATCAAAGAGCACCTCAAGAGATCGATCGCCGAAGACGAAGAAAAACGAGGTTTGACCGATTTGACCAATCATAAGCTCATCTTCAAGTACGAAAGTTCTGATCGAAGAACCAACGCCCCGTTGTCGTATAATCTAGGATCCTGTTGTCTTGTTAACAAACCTGAAATCACACCTACTCTCAACATCGATATTCCCATGCCAACGCCAAACGCGTGCCTCGTAAATATCATGGGATCTTGTAACGGGCTAATACTCATCAAATTTAGAAAATTAATATTATGGAATCCTTCAACTAGAAAACACATGGTGATTCCATCTCCCTCTTTCGACCCGATTCCTCAACAAGATCTTTTTCACGTACGTTTGTATCGTATCCGATATGGGTTAGGGTATGACGAGGCGAACGATGATTACAAGGTTGTCTCCATTAGACAGTCCGACTATCAACAACCCCATCTTCAGACAAAGGTCTACAGTTCCAAGACGGATTCTTGGAAGGAAATCGAGTGTTCCAATTTTAAGCATTGTTTTCAGTCTACTCATTACGGAGAGTATGTCAATGGAAGGCTTCATTGGCTGGCTGAATGCAACAAGAATCGTGGCAATCCTGATATTATCTCCTTTGATTTCAAGGAGGAGAAGTAACGAATTCGCAAACAAGTAGTAAAAGTGGACTCGTGAGAGTCGGGTGTCGATCCCACAGGGAATACTGAAATTATCTAATCCTAAGTACCAAATTCTAACAATTATGATTTTTATCTTGCCTACGCAAGTTTGTCAAATTAAATCAATTAAATAATTAAACTAATTATAGAAACAAATAAACAAGAGAAAATATCAATATAAAAACGGATCTAAGATTTTATCTTCCCCCTATGCGATAATTATTAACCCAAGACACGAAATTACTCATAACCCGCTGTCGCGTGTATTATAAGTCTATTATTCATAAACGATTCACTATATGTCTATGCAAACCTAGTATGAACAAAACATTAAATAACAAGTCTCGAAAACGGCTACCTATGGTATTATCTGTATGTCTACGATAATACAACGGCTACCTATGGTATTATCTGTATGTCTACGATAATACATGCAATTTACACACTCATCCGGTGAAAACTACTCGAAGACTCTCCTATCCTTGTTCTAATTATTAAAACGATATGTCAATCAATTCTAACAATAACATATAGCAACATAAATTAGCTACGTTCATGCGCTAAATAAGATCAAAATAGAAGAAATAATCGAGGAATTTAAACTTGCATAATATTAGAAAAATAGGTTCGAATCACCACACAGGGTTCCAACAAAATCCTAGATTAAAAACTTAGCTACTCATGTTCTCTACGGAAAGCATAATAAAAATACGAAAATTCATAACAATCGAAAAATAAAAATAAAAATAAAAGTAAAGGGAGAACTATGATGAAGATTCGTCAAGTCTTCGTCTTCGTTGCTCCGTTCTCTCGCTCCTAGATTGCGTGTGTAAAAGATAGATTCCTAATTGTGTGCTTTTTGGCCTTTAAATAGGGTGCAAAAATATAAGAGGGCGGTTTCCTTGTGTAATTAAACTTCCTTCACTGCGCCACTTCGTGAACCCGGACGCCCGTGCGAGAAATAGCACTGAAATCCGGACGGCCGTCCGGTCTTTAATTCTTCAGAGTTTTGATTTTTTACTTTTGGCCCACTTTTTCTCCGAATTTACAGTTTTTACCCCATAAGTTGCCAATTCTTCGATTTGTACCTAAAATACAAATAATAACCATTTTAAGCACCAATTATCGTTAAAACACACCAAAAGCTCCAATTAAAATGTGCCATTAAGTGTAAAAATATACACTTAACAGTCGTCAAATAGTATTAATGAATATTCTTCTGGACCGGTTTCTTTGGTCGAGCTCGGAGGCTATCTTGGTTTGATGAATATAACGAGCGATGCGGATGTGAATGTATGGGTAATGAAGGAGTATGGAGCGAGAGAATCTTGGACTAGGGTTTGGACATCATCGGACTTTGGTGTTGACCAGCTAGGTGACCGTAGTCTTTGCCGCGGCAGGTGTGCAAGGCCCTTGTGTTGGAGAAAGAATGGAGATATGTTAGTTGCGTTTGGACCGTACGTAGTCGTATGTAATGGGAAAAATGTATTGCGCAAGTCTCTAGTTGGTGGCGTGTTTGATCATAGAATTGACCCCATTGTTTACGTTCAAAGCTTAGTTTCACCGTTGATTCATCAACATTAATAAAAGTATTGTCACATGCGTTTTGCGTTTTTTTTCGTACACATATTTTTATTGATGCAGAGGTGGCGGAGCCGAAATTGTGTGGTTCCAAGTTTTTCCGAACCAGAACGACGAGGGGAGTTAAACACACGGCTGTGCCGTGATGTACGATGGATTTTGGCGTCCGAGGGGGCCGGATCTATCATGGTGGTGATAGATCGCTTTTCAAAGTACGGGACGTTCATAGCTTGCCCGAGGGATTGCACCGCGGAGGAGGCAGCCCGGTTCTTTTTCAAGAACATCGTCAAATATTGGGGACTACCGAGGAGCATCATAAGCGATCGAGATCCACGCTTCACGGGGCGATTGTGGACGGAACTTTTCAAGCTTCTGGGGTCCGAGCTTTGCTTCTCGACGAGTTTTCACCCCCAAACCGACGGGCAAACGGAGAGGGTGAACGCCCTACTTGAGTGCTACTTACGGCACTTCGTTGGAACCAATCAAAAGGATTGGGCGAAGCTCCTCGACGTGGCTCAATTTTCTTACAACTTGCAACGGAGTGAAGCCACGGGGAGGAGTCCATTCGAGCTTGCAACAGGACAACAACCGCATACGCCGCACACTTTGGCTACGGCAACCGATGGAAGAAGTCCCGGAGCATTGAAGATGGCTAAGTTGTGGGAGGAACAAGCCGACTTAACCAGGGCATGCCTTGAGAAGGCTAGGCGACGAATGAAGAAATGGGCGGACGACAAACGGCGACCACGGGAGTTCGACATTGGGACCCAAGTGATGGTGAAACTATTACCCCAACAATTCAAGGCATTGCGGAGCATGCACAAGGGACTTGTGCGAAGGTACGAATGACCATTCCCGGTGATCGCCAAGGTCGGTAAAGTTTCGTATCGTCTAGAACTTCCAAGTTCTTTGAAAATCCACCCGGTCTTCCATGTGAGTATGTTGAAGCCTTATCACGAAGACAAGGAAGACCCGAGCCGAGGAGAGTCGCACCGAGCACCACCCATCATGACTAAGTCATACGATAAGGAGATCGAGGAAGTGCTCGGCCGACAATTGAAGCGACGTAGGGGAGTTCCACCGAGTATTCAATACCTCATCAAATGGAAGGGATTACCCGAGTCCGAGGCAACGTGGGAGACGAAGGAAGACTTGTGGCAATTTCAAGATCGTCTCCAGTTGTTCGAGGCAACGAGGACGTCGCCGGATTAGACGGGGGAGGATGTCACGGCCCGCTAGTTTTGGCCCAACCCCTTGCCAATTTCCCTTGGGTTGGGGAGGTTAAGGAGTCCAAGATTTAGCCCAAATAGGGTTAGGCCCAAGTTGGCCCAAATGTATAGAGGTAGGTAGGGGTAGGTAGAGATATTTTAGGAATTCTTTGGAGTGTTCTAGAGAACCACTCCCAACCGTTAGATCAAATAGATCTCCACCGTCCATTGATGAGGTGGACTAGTATAAATAGAGGTAGGGTCTTCATTTGTAATCATCCAAGAAATACAATAAGCACTCAAGCTATAAAGTACTTTCCTACAAAACACATTTCGGGAGAGGCTGACTTAGCTATCGCGAGGGGCGAGAAAGAGCTAAGGCCGCACGGTTCGTTGTTAAGGGAACAAGTCCGTGACAGGGTGGTGGTGACGTGGGGGAGGCGGAGGGTGGTGGGGTGGACAAATGCGATATATAATAACCGAGAAATACGGCATGACGAAAAAGACAAACTCTCCGCCCGGCCAATTGGGGGTGTTCGGAACCGGGAAACGGTTCACCAAGGAATTCCAAGAATCGACGTATTCTTGATTCAGTTGTCCAGGTGGTGGTGACGTGGGGAGGCGGAGGGTGGTGGGGTGGACAAATGCGATATATAATAACCGAGAAATACGGCATGGCGAAAAAGACAAACTCTCCGCCCGGCCAATTGGGGGTGTTCGGAACCGGGAAACGGTTCACCAAGGAATTCCAAGAATCGCCGTATTCTTGATTCAGTTGTCCAATGATGTGATCTTCCATCACATCGGT